CGGAGGGACGGCCACCTCCTCAGCGACGGCCACCTCCCGTTCTGGCGAGCGGCCCGCCGACGCCTATGAGGAGCGCTGGAGCGAGGGGCCAGGACCCCCCTCCAGTCCTGGTGGGGGCGGAGGGTCCCGCGACCAGGGGCACAGCGGGCCCTGTGTCTGGCGCTGGTGGGCGCGCCGCTCGCGAGGCAGCCGTCATCGGCAAGGCGCCGCTGGTCGGCAGCGCAGGAGGCCAGCAGCTTCGAGCTGGCCTAGTCATGTTCGGCTGCAATGGCAACACTTGGAGCAGGGGCATTGAAGCCATCGAGGCCTTCTTCAAGGCGTACGACTACTGGCCCGACGTAGTGGCGCTGCAGGAGACGAGGCTCCCGCATGAGCGCCTGCCCAGTGCGGCGGCTCAGGCCCGCGGCCTGGGTTACGCGGCCTTCCTCCACGAGGCGGCGCTGACGGAGAAGCAGGGGCCCCAGGCGACCTCAGGCGGCGTGGCGATTCTGGTGCGAGACGGCTTGCAGGCCGACGAGTCGGCGTACCCGTTGCCCTCGGCCTTGCGGCACCGCCTCATCGGGGTGGAGGTCGCCGCCGCCTCGGGCCTTCGGATCTTGGTGCTCGCTGGGTACTTTCAGCACTCTGTGGGCCCTCGAGGCACCAACCTGGACTTGTTTTCGGCCATCTCGGAGGTGACGGGCTCTTCTGCCGGCATCCCGTGGGTCCTCCAAGCCGACTTCAACATGGAGCCCGAGCCCCTGGAGGAGTTGGGGTGGCCCGCGGCGGTGTGGGGGCACGTCCTGGGGCCCTCGGAGGCGACGTGCCATGCCGAGGGATGTGACCACCTCTACGACTGGTTCGTGGCCTCCGCGGCGTTGGCTGCCTGCACGGCCTCCTGCGCCACCACGCTCGAGGGCTTCGGTCTGCGCCCTCATCGCCCTGTCCTGCTTCGCCTCCAGGACGTTCGGGCAGATGCGTTGGTGGAGGTTCCGCCCAGGCCCGCGCGCTTCCCCGAAGTTGCTCCTGAGCTCCTTCGGGCGCACGAGGACGCGGAGATTGTGTGCTACTCGGTTGGCAAGAAGGGACAGGCCACGCCTAGGGGCGTCGCGTGGTCCTGGGACACAGGCACTTCACCGACCAACCTCTCCGTCGCCTTCAGCGAGTGGGCGGCGGCTGCCGAAGGCACCCTGGTCGGCATCCACGGCATCGGCCCGGCAGACTTGGCCCGTCATCTCGGCAGAGGAGAGGGGCCTCGGCTGTCCCTCAAGCCTCTCAGTGCCTTGGTCAGGCGGGACGCCAGGTTCAGGTTCAGCCTCCTCACGCACCGCTTGAGGAGCTGCCTGGACGTGGCCCTCCAGCGGGTGCGCGCTGAGAGGACTGGCCGCTGGCATCCTCGGCATGCAGACTGGTACGGGCACCAGGCCGGGCTCAGGGCGCAGCTCTTGCTAGAGGCGGTGCAGGAGGCTGCCGACTCGGTCGGTGGGGCTCTCCCTGGCGCAGCTCCTGATCGACTAGGCGACCTGGTGTTTCAGGCGGGCGTCCACGGCAGCCCTGATGCCGTTCGGGACCTCCAAGGGCTGCTCGGTGCATCGCAGCGCCGCGACGCTGCTCAGAGCGCCCAGGCCTGGCGCAACTGGGCACAGACAGCGGTCGAGAAGGGCGGTCGTCTGGCCCACCGCTTCTCGAAGGCGACGCCCCCGCCGACGGTCAGGGACGCTGACTCGGGCAGGAGGCTTGTTGGGATGGCAGCGATCGGAGAGCTCACGAGTGTCTGGCAGAAGCTGTGGCTCCAGGACGGGTTTGCCCTGGGCGCAGGGGCCAGCAGCTGGGACGTTGGCGAGTGGCGGCTGCCACCCATCTCGCTGGAGCAGCTCCAGGCGGCCTGCAAGCGCTACAGCCCCTCGGTGGGGCTCGGGCGCGACTCTCTGCACCCTCGGCAGATCCTCCTGTTGCCCGTAGCGCTGCAGCAGCGCATCCTGGACATCCTAGCGGCCTACGACGACGCCCCTGCATCGATCAACGGGCAGGTCTCCCTGATGGTGTTCATCCCGAAGGCAGATGGAGGGGTAAGGCCCATCGCGTTGCTGCCGCTGGTCCTGCGGCTGTGGTCGCGCCTCCGCCAGCCGTGCTGTGCCCGCTGGGAGGCTGACCACGACTTCCCCTTCTTCTGGGGACGTGACGGGCGGGACTGCGAGCGGGCTGGGTGGCTGCACAACTGTTTTGCGGGGTTCGCGAAGGCGAACCAGCAGTTCGAGGCCGCGAGCCTCTTCCTGGACATCAGCAAGTTCTACGAGCATGTGCGTCACGATGTTCTCTGGGCGAATGCTGTGCGTTTCGGGTTCAACCTCAGGCTGTTGCGCGGCCTCCTCACCTCCTACCAGGCCCCTAGGATGATCCTCGCGGCGGGAATGGCTTCCCCCGCCTTCGGCACTACAGGTGCGGTTTTGGCTGGGTGTGCGTGTGCGACAGCAGTTGCGAAGCTCCCAGTGCTGGGCGCCCTCCTGGCCGCGGGGGCGACGTGCCCGTTGGTCACGCCGAGGAATGTTGTCGACGACATCTCGCTCCAGGCGGTCGGCACGGCCCGACTCGTTAAGCAGCAGATGTTGGCCTCCAGCTGTGAAGTGGTCCGCCAGCTGCGTGAACAGCACCTCCCACTCAACGAGAGTAAGTCGGTCTTCCTGGCCTCGTCGCCGCAGCTCGCCAAGGAGCTTTCCGAGGCGTGGGCAGCGCAGGGCTTGACCTTCAAGAGGGGACTGCAGGCGAGGAACCTCGGCACCGACGCCAACATCACTCGTCGAGGAGTGCATGAAGGTGCTGTGCGTGCGGTCGGCGGCCTTCGGCGTGGACGCAGGCTCGGGGTGCTTCGCTCAGCTGGTGCGGCGACCGAGATGGTCCACCGTGCTGGGCCCACCGCGGCGATGCTGCGGGGGCGTACTGTGACTGGTGTACCTGATAGGGAGCTTCATTCGTGGCGCTTGGCGGCTGTGCGCTCGGCTGGGAAGTTCCCTAAGGGCGCCTCACTCGGGCTGAGGCTCAGAGCGGTGGAGGTCATGCGGTCCATCGACCTCGACCCGAGCCCCGCGCTGCTTCGTGCCGCTGTGCAGATGGCGGCCAGCCTCCTTCAGTCGGGGGAGGTCTCGCAGCGCATGTTCGAGACGGCCGTGCAGGAGGCGGAGCGGAGGCACGCGGGAGCAGCAGCCCCATGGGCGCACTGCCGTACGCCACTGGATGCCTTGGCCCTCTCGCTCACCAGGGTGGGCTGGAGGCTCGTCCAAGGCACCTGCCTCGCCACCGACGACGGCCACATCCTGGACCTGCGCATGATGGGGCCGCGCGAGCTGGGCCTGCTGGCAGCGGCAGGGGCGCGGCGTGCTTCGGGCAGGTCGGAGCTGGCCCGCCTGGGCCACGGTGCGCTCCCCCCGTCGCCCCTGTTCTGGGAGGCCTTCTCGGAGGTCCTCGGGCCTGGCAGCAAGCTCAGCCCCAGGGAGAAGGCGGCGGTGTTGAGTTTCCTTTCCAACGCCCACTGGCCCCAGACCCGTCTGCACTCGGCAGGGGAGAGGGAGCATGCTCGCTGCTGCGCTTGCGATGCACCCCGCGGCAGCCTCTGGCACAGGCTGTTCGAGTGTCCCGTCCTCGCGGGGCCGAGGCGCGACTCTACCTCCGTCCGCCTTCGGCGATGCGCACACCGTGCACGTGGCCGTGGTGAGGAGGCGGGGGAATGCTTTGCGCGCTGCTGGCTCCCTCAGCCCCCGAGGGCCGCGCCGAGGTCGGATGCCATGGCGGTCATGTGGCGCAATCGCCCCGCCGACGGTCTCCTCGGGGGGCGTCTCTACCTGGATGGGTCGGCGCTCGACCCCGAGCACGAGAGCCTACGGCGTGCGGGTTGGAGCATCGTGCAGTGCGACTCCGACGGCAACATGGAGTGCGCGGTGTACGGCAGCGTGCGCCAAGACCTCTGCCCTTTCCAGACGGCCAAGGACGGCGAGGATTTCGCGGTCTGGATGCTGTCCCGCTTCCTGGGCCCGAGTGCGGACGAGATCCTCATCGATTGTGCGTCTACGGTCAGCTGCCTCACGTTGGGCAAGAGGTACGCGACGGCAGCCAACAAGCCCAATGCCCATCTCTGGGAGGGGATCTACGCTTCGCTGGACGTGGACATGCTCAAGGTTACCAAAGTGGCAGCCCACTGCACCGCCAGAGACGTGATGGATGGCAAGATCACGGAGGCGGACCTCCGCGGCAACGGTCATGCCGACCGCTGGGCCAAGGCAGGTGCGGAGCTGCACCGCTCCAGCCCCGTGGCCAGGCGCGAGTTCTTCGGCGCGATGGAGGTGGTGAGGGAGCTCTCCTGCTGGGTGGCGCAAGCCTCCCTCATCTGGCAGGGGATCGAGGTCAAGGACTGCGAGGGCCTGCCTGAGGGCAGCGAGCGGACGGCTGTTTCCTTCGCCGTGCCCGTGGTGGAGCCCGCCAGCAGCCGCCCGTCCGACTCGGGTTCGG